TGCTGTAGATATATCTGTTGATATCCTATTCACTCAAAAGGTACACTTAGGGAAAAGGGCAGAATACTTAGAGCACATAAATTGACAGCACAAAATATTATTTAGGCTTGATACTAATCTGAAGAGCATTATTCTCCACATTCCATTCGATTTCATAGTCACTGTAGCCTTTTGCAATCATTTTTTCCTTGAAGTTTTGCAATTTTGGGTTCACTTCCTGTTCTATTACTTCGACTAGCTGAAAAATCTTTTTATCCGTTTCCTCAATGGCTAAATGTTGATTCATTTTTTCTCTTTTTCCTTACTTTCTTCGGAACTTCGTCATTGACCTTATGTCTGACGCGTTTTTGAATCTCATGCCTAAGAAAGTCCAAATTCCTTAAATGGTGAGTGAACTCAATATGAAAGTCGGAGTTCACTGTTGCTGTTGGGGTAAATTTGAAATCGTTCCAGGCAAGTACAACATCGACATCGGCATTCTCACATGTAGCTCTAGAAGTAGAATTAGGATTTGCTATAATGTTACGTAGTGGCAATAATGTGAACCTACTTGATATCTCCGCTCATACGGGCTATTTGTACCCATTTTCCAAACACTTTCTTTCCTAACTCTACCCTTCCTTTAACAGTAGCTCGAAATTTCACGCCTTTCAGCTGAAAATTCTTTTGAGAAGGGGAATTTTTACTTTTTAAAATCGATAGTTCTACATACACAAATGCGAGCACCATTACTCATATCCTGAAATGATGCACCAGATTTTGGTACTGAAAAGTAGTCCACTCTGCCATCCCATATACGATATTTCACAAGTTCCTGCTGAAAAAGGCATCGTTTTATAGAGTTACAGGATATCGCTTACATTTTTTTCCAAATTTCTAGAGCTAAATTGTAGTTTAACAAACCTGACCGCTAAATTCTGGAATTGTGATTGATGTTACAGCTTCATTTATGATATTCTCCTCAGTTTCAAGTATGTTCCATATTGCAGGAGTGACTGTTAAAGTGAAAGGTTTTTTTGAGGGCCTTAAAATATAAAATAATCATTTATGAGTATGAGAATCAGCTTTTCCTTAGCTCAATACTTCTTTATTGCTGTAAAGGAAAAATGTTGGCAAAGACTTGTGTTCTACGAATTTTTAAAATTTCACTTAGGTTTCCAAAAATAACCCTATAACTGACACATTTTGCTTTATTTTACATTATTATGACCATACTCAAACGAAGGGAACGTGAGTCATATTCTATAATTGATGATGACTAACTCTCTTGTGGTTTCTCCTTTTAAAAAACTATCTTAAACTAACTTTTTTCCTTTGAGTAGTGAGATTATGCTTGCGTCAATGCACAACATTCTATGTGTTAATCCAAAGATTACCAAGCCTGAAAACATATTTAAAACAAATCAAAATCCCAAAAAATTTATAGCTCAAGTCATGGTAGCAGCCAAGATAAATCTATTGCTGTTTAGAAAAAGCTAATCTGCCAGATCTTACCAATAACAAGTGTTTGGCATACTCCTTGCAACTTATTTAAATTTCTTTTTCTGAAGGAAGAAAGCCAAGAATTCAATGGGAACGTTCCAAAAAATGAAAAATGCACGAAGGGCATAAACCATTTATAATTTGCTGAGAAAAGCACACAAAGGTCTTTACAAAAAGCGAATCAGCTGTCAATCTTGAGTTTAAATAATCAAAATTCATCGTGTAGGGAAATCACGCAAATCACTTTATAAGGTAGTGATACATAGCAGAAAGGTTGGATCGTGCAATGTAATTTAAATACGGAACCGTAAAACTGTAGATTTGAGTCTTTAAAATAACAGCCGAAAATTGTTTGGAAAAACATGACAAGTCAGATGCCAGCTGACGCATAGAGGGCTCTGCAAGTACACTCACGAGAATGTAGACGGCGTTAAAGGAAATTGTGTATGAATCATAGCGTGTTGAAAATTGAAGATAAATGCTACATGACAGCAGGATTCTAGATAAAAAGCACAAAAAGGAGTTGAAGCATAATTACGAGACGTCAAATTCTGCAACGTGCAAGCAAAATTCAACGAATCTGTGATTCAGGGAAATTCTTGTTGTAAGCCCATCCATATTCTGGCATTGATCGAATATCAATATCAATTCATGAGTCAGAACGATTTCCTTTCATCATCAAGCACATCGCCATTCTTTGTTGTTAAGCTGGTAAAGCATGACTCAGAGCCTCGTAGTCATCAATTCAGCGAACTTTTTTTGGAAGATTTTAAAATTGTTGCAATCCTAAAATACAGAATATTATTTTTAAAATTGTTGTAATCCGAAAATATAGACATCATTTCATCACGTTTGAGCAAAGAGTTCGATGAGAAAATATTTCTCTAAAAATGAGTTGTAAATTTATTGTTATGATAAGTTCATTCGTTGTAAATTTCAGCTTTTACAGGGAAATTTCTTTTATTCACTGAACACACGAACATAATTACTTTCGGCGATTTCTAGAGGGTGTATATGGTTACTCAATTCATATTCGATATAAACCTTGACATCTGCGATAAGATCGAGATATACCGTAACTTTCAGAGGATATTCGCAATCACTATTATTTTCGAGTAAAATTGGAAAGAAACTTCATTATAACTAAGAACACCGCAGATCGTCCTAATAGAAAATTGAAATTTTTTTACAATTCATATTATCAAAGTTATTAATTAGAAATGATTTGTTTACTGTAAACTTATTCCTATTTGAAAATCCTCCTGTTGAGCTCTGAGCTAATTTTTTGCTTTATTCGCAAATATTCCATTTGAGTTCTGAAATATTTTTAATATATCTGGATCCTTAGGATTTATTCTCGTGCCATTCTATTAACAAGAATGAATGATAACTAGACAAAGCGCCGCTTCGCGACAGACTCATTACAGTCTCTCATCAACAAACTTCAAAAGCCAAATAAAAAGGGAATGGAGAAAGAGTTAGAGGAAATAGAGAAGGAGACGAGTTTTACCAAGTGTATAGCAAAAGTAAACGAAGTGAAATTCATGTTGGGGCAAGGCCCATGGAGGCTATAAACCACACGGAAAGTTTGGCGGCAAGCTGGGTATAACGGAACCCTCTACCATTGTCTGGCGCAAACAACCGTAAGTGCTGGAAGCAGTTAATCAGTAGTCCGAGGAAGTGATGACCTCACTAATCCGAGCGACGCTTCTTGATTGTCAGAGGATAGTTCAAAGAGAACAACTATCAAATGGAAGAAGATATTTGCAGAACATTAAAACCCACAGCATTAAGCTTTGCTTCTGGGGAGATGACGAAAAATGCCCTGAGTTTTGGGCAGTGTACGAAACGCTGGTCTACCAAAACAAAGCGCTCAACACTGTTGAAAAAATCCTTCTTTTGAATCTCAAGGGAAGAACAGAGATGTCGGTGAAGGGAATCCAGGTAATTCAGCAGAATTACATATGGATGAGGAAACTTTGAAAAAAAAGCACGGTAATAAACCAGTAAACAGAGCGAAAATTGTCAAAAGCTTATTGACCTCCTTTGTGCAAAAAACACCTCTGACTGATGCGCACACATTTTCGACAAAAGTCGAATTCTGATCAGCCAAATGGTATCCCCTGGCCAGGATATTCCGAATATGAAGGAGCAATGTAGATTGAGAAAATCCAGGAAAAGCTCTCGTACAGCATCGTGAAAAATGTTCTTCTATCAATACAGGGAAAAGAGAAGAAGTAAAGATTGTTGACGTATTGGAACAAATCAAGAAAGAGATTAACGCGAAAGAATACGTGGAATCACGTCCGAAACATCGTTCTACGAAAGAAACACGAGATATGAAACAGTTTCATGAATTAGAAAAACCAGAACTTAAACGAAAAGAAGAAGATCATCATTTGTAAGAGTTTCAAATATTTCTTCTCAAAATTTCGTACGGTAAGACACTCCGCAAAAAAGAAATGTTGTAGTGCAATCAAAGCATTGCTGTAAATGCTTCTCAGACCAACATAGAAGCAATCAATGTAATAAACCGAACTGTTCTGATTGCGGGCGCATGCATTACATTAGTTTATGCTTTCCTAACATTAAAAAAACTGGCAACGCGATAAATCACAGGAATTCTCGCACAAATCACTTTAATATGGCGCAAAACAATTACAGAAGACCCCCTGCTGGAAATAAGAACAGACCAGGGATTTGGCGTAATCGCAACAAACATGAAGTTCGCACGAATATGAATAGTCAAGTTTTCATAGCGAAGAAGTGACAAACTCTACAGTAGCAAAAGTGAAAGACCTTTTAGATGTAAAAAAGACCAGATCTTGCTGCTGACTGACTGTCTGAGAAGGTCATATAGAGAAATTAAAGATCTTTTACATTGAGATAAAATTATCCAATGTCTTCGGCATAGA